AAATATTTTCGACGTACCGTTTACGTTCGGAATAATTTTGGTAATTTAGCATTATGTTTAATTGGATAATTAAACATAATTAAGTGATTAATTTAATTTAATCACGAGATTAGCTATTGTTCGGATTGTATTCCGAGTTCATGTTCATAGCCGCGCATTGTTCGAGTTCATGTGCATGCCGTGCGTTATTCGGTCCGAGTTCATGCGTTTCGCCGCGTGGTGTGTTCGTGCGTGCGATCGGGAGTCCGCACCCTTACAAGTCATGAAGACCGTGCGCGCGTGTAGTCCGAGAGAATCCGTGCAATGCGTCCAAGCTCTTGGGATTATCCGTGCGTGTCCGCTAGTGCCGTGCATAGTCTAATGGGCGGAGTGCCCAAGGCCGCGCATCCTTCCAAATAAGCCTTGTTCCGTGCGCTTTGTCCCTTTGTCCTCAAATATCCGTGCATTCAGCCTTATTTGCCGTGCAATTTGTTGGCTTGTGGGCGTGAATGTCGAGGCAAGTTGCATGCCATTTTGTATTTTAGCTTGGTGGCCGAGCGCTAATAGCATGGGAGACATTTGTCATGGCATTTGACCGAGTGTTGTTTTCCCCCCCCCATCTCATGCTTTCGGCCCTTATCATAAATTAGAGATTTTGGAGACTTTGCTCCATTTCCTCCTCTAAACTCAAAGTGCCGAGAGATAGAGTGATTTAGAGAGCGCAATTGTGTGAGTCGTTCGGGAGCAGCACCGAGTACCGTACGCGAGCCGCGAGACGTACGCAAAGGAGCAACACACGCAACGCACACACGCGGGAAGTCACGGCCGAGAGCGGTTCCAAGTCGTTAACCTCTTGAGTTTTATAAGAGGTAAGTTCCCGACGGCTATTAATCCGAAAATATCATGTTTGCTTAAGATTAAATGTTAATGTGGTCATGCATGCGTACTATGGCCGTAGCCGTGCGTGAGCCGTGCCGTTCATGTCATATTTTAAGTAATCCTCCGAATCATGTTATTATTTTCAAGGAATTCTCCGAATAACCCTCGCATACTTAGCTTTTATTTGCGAAATTATGTTTATTTGAACTTAAGTATTCGGGTGAATTTAGCCATTTTAAAGGAGTAGCATGCTTATTTAGTTAATTTCATTATTGGCGTGCATGCATAGCCTTAGCCGTGTCATGTCACGTTCCAAGTTATTTTTCTCCGACCATTATTGCATGCTTAGCCTCTATATGCAATTTCATGCTTAGTTTAACTTAATTGTTCGGGAAATTAATCATGTTACTAGTACATTGGCCGAGAGGGGTGTGGTCGCACACGTAGTGCGCACCACGGGCCACCCGAGAACGCATGCATGTTATGTTCAAAACCTTCGACCACTATGTGTTATTATGTTCAGAAAAATCATGTTAAGTTCAGCTATAAATGAATTGCCGAGACATTATGTAATTTGATCAGGCATCAGCACTTCCCTTCAGTTTTCAGTTCAGCAAATTCAGGTGGGGACTCAGACTAAGTATTACATGGTTTATAATCACGTTACCATGGTCGAGGTATGTATATTCAGGTCCGCTCGGAATGGTCGCCGGTCCATTCTGGGTTCTAGTGGCCCTAGTCTGCCCACTAGAGTGTGAACATGGCGTCCGGCTTTGCCGGCAGATGTTCAGGTTCAGTTCAGATGTGACTTATGTCACGACGTGACTTCGGTCGCGAGATTCAGTTATCAGTTACGTGACTTCGGTCGCGAGATCAGACCGGTTTATTTTTATCAGTTACCTGAGATCAGTTTCAGTTTAGTTGTATATACTTAGTTCATGATCATGTTATTATTTACGATGTATTACATTAGCATGAGTTTCTGCGGAGCACAGTGCCTTAGTGCTCACGCCCCACATCTTTCATGATTTTCAGGTCGCAGGGTCGGAGATGAGGAGTGAGCGGGCGAGCTGTTCAGGATATTTTGTGTTGGATGTATTTGATGTTGAACGTTAAAACTTTTCAGAACTTTTATCAGACTTTTATGATTTTGCCACGCTAGACTTCCGCTAAAAACTTTCAGACTTTGCTCCGACGTTAGTCGGATAATAAATTTTAACCGTTGTCATGTATCAGTTTTAAATTCTAACGGTTTTCAGAAGTTATGTTTTTCACGGTAACCCCCGAATCAGTTTCGCAAATTAAGAAGTTAGTTTATTTATTTATTTATTCAGAAAATTTGCGAAAAACCGCGTACTCTGATATATTAGAAAGTCGGGGTGTTACAGGGACTGCCCGACTACAACGCGCCTGTGGAAACTCTTGATTCCGGCAGGGGAGTTCAACGATTTTTTCCATCAACCTTTTCAGTTGTGGTTGTGCAGTAATCTCAGGGCCTTGCGGATTGGGCAATATAAAGATTGGAGCTGCCTTTTTGCCTTTATGGTGTGGAACACGTGGAAGTGGAGGAATGACCGCATATTCAATTCTCGTTCACTGTCATGTAAGAATAGGCGGATGGAGGTGCTGCGTAACATGGATTCATATACACGAACTTCGGAGGCCTATCAGCGTGTGGGCGCGGACAGCTATGTCGTGCGTATGATACATTGGAAACCCCCAGATCCAGGATGGATTAAGGTTAATACGGATGGATCCTTTGATAGCACGTCAGGCTTGAGTGGGGCGGCGGTTTGATTCGTGATGAGCATGGAAAGTGGATAGATGGATTCACTATTAGTATTGGCTTCGACACCATTACAGGTGCCGAGCTTTGGGGTATCTTTCAGGGACTGCAATTGGCTTGGGACCGAGGATTCCGTCAGGTTATAGCGGAGACTGATAGCCAAGCTGTGGCCAAAATGATCAATGGTTCTGGGAGCAGCTTCGGGGCCCACGACTCCATTGTCCGTGCTATAAAAGAACTGATTCAAAGGAATTGGCTTATTCATATTAATCACGTGCATCGAGAGGCGAATTATTCGGCGGATCTTTTGGCGGGACTCGCGACTACAGCTCCTTTGGGTTTCCAACGATTTGCATCTCCCCCGCCGGGACTAGGATCTTGGCTTGATCATGACATTAGCGGGGTGTCGCACCCTCGTAGAGTATTAGCCTAGTCATTTTAAGTCCTTTGTCCTCCTTCGTTGTACCGAAAAAAAAGGACGAGTGCGTAAGATACAGAGTACCAAAGCCTAATCTAGATTTGTCCAAGGCGCTTTTCACAGTGGGTATAGGCCAAAACGATGTCGCTTTTGGTATCCGAACTTTAAGTTATCAACACCAAAAGGAAGCCACACCCAGAATCGTTGCTCAGTTTATCTCACAAATTGGAGTAAGATTCATCTTTCCTTCCTTTTATGTATTATTCATTAAGAAAAAATATTTTACTTAGAATATGAAAGACAAAAATTCAATTTTGGTTGTTTAGTTGTTTAAAGTCATTTTTTGGTACACTAACTCTTCCCTCATCAATAATAGTACGTTATGTTGCAATCTGTTTACTCTTGGGACATTATAGCGAAAATGATTTAGTATTTCTGGGCATTAATGTCCTAAAACTGATACAAAGTGCAACATAACGTACTGTTTTTTATGAGTAATATCCCAAAAATGATACAAATTGCAACATAACGTATAAAATGTAGGTTTTATACGAAAGTGGAGCACGGACATTTTGGATACACAACACGGGCCCAATCGGGTGCTTGCCCGTGGCAATTGCAAGAATACAGAAGCCTGCGCCGCCAGGGTACCTTGATAAGTATGGCTGTGTCAAGACCCAAAACGACGTAGCTTTGCTATTCAATAAAGTATTAAAGGACGAAATTGTGAAGCTGAGGGCCAATCTTTCCAATGCATCCATAGTCTATGTTGATGTGTATGCTGCCAAGTACGAACGCATCAGCACATCCAAGGATCAAGGTAATTAAAACCCATTAATACATTCACCAAAAAAGCGCTACTGAACATTAGATATTAAGCGCTACTTATTGTTAAGCAATTTTGCAGGATTTGAAGACCCTTTCGCCACATGCTGCAGCTATCATGGGGTCGACTATGATGTTTACTGTGAAAACACAGGACATGTAAATGGTACTAAAGTATTTGCAACTTCTTGTCCTAATCCTTCTGAAGTCATCAGCTGGGATGGGGTGCACTACATTGAAGCTGCCAACAAATGGATTACGGACCGAATAGTTAACGGGTTTTTATCTGACCCACCAGTCGCAGTCTCGCGTGCGTGTCATAAGCAAGTAAGAGTCAGTCGTATGAAAAAGCAATCAAATTCCGATTAGTTCATTAGTTATTCGAACATCTATTTATTCTATATTGTACTACAATCCACAGTTGTGCTAAACGATGAAGTGATGATGATCAAATAGTTTAGTTATTTGAGTACAAACATTGATTTATATATTGGAATCAACATTACTACTATATCATTCTCTTTCAAGTGTCACGATGCTGCATTAAACCAGAAGCGGATCTAGAAAAAATCTTTAGGGGGAACTAGAGCTATTATTCAAACAAAACTGTTTGCGTACAAGTTCAGTTTGACTCATAAGAACTCAAGCTCAATTTTATGTATACTTAAACGAACTAATATCAAACACTTAATTTAATTTGCGTATTAACTGAGTTAGATCTTACTTGTTTATTAATGAGTCAAGCCGAGCTGACTCATATATTAATCAAACATGAGTTTGAACATGAGTTTTTTTGGCTTGACTTGACTTGAATAACACCTTTAGAGAGGATATATAATTTTTTATAATACACACACATGAGGCATACATTTTCATTATACAATAAATAGATAAAACAAATAGTAAAAATGCTCTGACTATGATATAACTTATGAATTTAGTATATTAAAATTGTGCTTGAGATTATTTCGAATCACGAGACTGATTAACAATTGAGTCATTGTTGGTAGTTCTTGCGATTACTATTCGATCCGCTGAATTTGCATATCTTACATGCTCTGCTATTTCAAATTTTTTATATTAAGATGCAATATATCTTATACATTGAATTTAATTAAATCCTATATTACTAAGAAAAAACACCAAATATTACAGGTAAAGCGAAAAATTACTTATAAAAATATAACGTACATAAAAATAATTAATAGACCGAGCAAAAAATAAGTAGTAATAACTATGGAATGATGCAATAAATTGAATATGCTAATAATATATATTTATGTAGTAAAGGATAAAAAATTAATAATATGCTTATAATGTGTATATATATACTGTATACATAGTAGAATATAAAAAATAATCTGCCATTGAATTAAAGGGCTCACAAATATAAAAAAAAAATGATCAAATTATTTGAAAGATTCAATGACGGACGATCTGCAAATTAGTTCTATTTTTTACCTCACAAGCTTGTGTTGTGCGTCCCTGTGCTCTGTTCCGTGCGTCTCTGGACTCTTTGAGTCTTTTTTTTTATGTTAATTAGAGTAGTTTTATTAGTTTACTTATAAAGAAATACTATATATAATACAATAAAAGGTCGAAGTTAAATCATTAAATGGGCTTTATGACTTATCTTCTATATATTTGTGTAATAAAAGGTCGAAGTTAAATCATTAAATGGCCTTGACTTGCCCTAGTCCACATAGTCTCAACCAATATATCCTTAGTTAATTAATTAATAGAGTGATATGGGATATTATATACTAGACCGGTTCGTCGGGTTAGTCGAATAAAATAGATCAGCGAAGGAAAGAAGGTAGCCGACGAGGGAGAGTAGGCTCGGTAGCATCGGATAAGCACCGCCTGCTCGAGGAGATAGTCGAGGAAACACGGTCAAATGAGTGTGGTCGTAAGATCGACCACCCCATACCTGAGGAACAGCTCGATGCTCGTCGAAGATTCGGTCGAACATCAAGATAAATAGGAGAGCCTCCAGCACGTGAGGAGGAGACACGCGGCGCTTTATGAGTGGCCCGCGGCTATAACGAACTCTGACATTCTCTGACAGATTCGACGCGTTCACTGACATTAGAGATAGTGGGGGCGCACCGTTGTACGGACGAGCAGGAGGACAGCTGGCAAGACTCGCCTAAGTCGCGCGTGTAGAACAGGTAGCTCGTCCCTATAAATAGGAACGAGGATCCTCATTTTTTAGACATAATCTCTCATACTCTTACATATTTCCACACACTTATATTATCTCTCAAGATCTGACTTGAGCGTTGGAGGCTCTTCATCGGAAAACATCTCCGGTGTGGGAGTTTTGTGCAGGTTCCGCGTTCAACCGGCGAGGAGAACGAGCTTGAGGCGGTTTCTAGCCGGTCGGGGTCCGAGACTTGTATTATTGGCACCGTCTGTGGGACTTTCGTTCAAAAGGTTGTGTTGTGAGCTCAGCTATGGCGGACGGAGTTCCTCGAGTGAATTTGCAGTCGTCGTTCGATGAAGCGTGGACGACGACAAGACCGATGGGAGCAGGACCTCCACATGGTTTCTCCGGGCCCTCACAAACACCAATGACCCCAACGTCGATGCCTTAGAGCGCGACGATTCCAGGTGGAGGAGAAGGCATGAGCAGAGAGCACGAACCTCGTGAAGCAGCACCGACGGCAGCCCTGACGCCGTTGCAAGCAGCCCGGTTGTGGCACAACATGTTGGACCATCGGTGCAGACAATGGTGCCGCCAACAGGAGGAGCACCGCAACCCCCTGCCCAACAAATGGTGACCATGATGAGGGAAGAGATGCAGAGGATGATGGCCAACGCGGTGGCGCAGGCTGTGCAGCAGGTCACTCCCAGACATCCTAGGCCGCTACCACACCGACCACGGTACCGGGGACGCAAGAGGAGGACGTGTCGAGTTATGGCGGAGGAGGAGAGCACAGAGATAGGGCGATGGAGAGAATGGCTGAGCAGCTCCGACAGCTGCAGGAGAAGGTGGAGGGAAGGCCGGACAGGCGTGCTCGAGGACATCCGTTCTCGAGGGAAATTCTAGCTGCACCGTTGCCTGCGAGTTTCCGGGAGATAAATCTGATTTTTGATGGGTCGAGCGACCCGTCGAGGCATGTGAGGGCTTTCGAAAATATGTCTGTCTTGCACGGGTATTCGGATCCGGTCAGTTGCAGGGCTTTTTTGTCGACCTTACGAGGTGGCGCGCTCGACTGGTTCCACCAATTAGCTCCCAGTTCGATTAGAGACTTTGAGGATTTCGCAGGACATTTTACTAATCAATATTCAAGTGCGGTCGCCTAGGAGAAGACATACCTCACTCTGATGGCGATGCGACAAGGCGAGAAAGAGTCCCTGCGGAAATATGTTGCTTGATACAATCAGATGTGTTTAGAGGTGCCCACGGCGGGCGACGAGGTGAAGGAAGGAGGATTGATTAAGAGTCTACGACCAGGACCATGTCGAACGTCATTAGCGAAGACGCATGCTCGAACTTACGACGAGGTGCTTAAGAGATGCAAGAAGTACATTAATTTAGAAGAAACGGAAGCTGAGTTTGCCAAGCTTGAGGAGGTAGTGAAACCTGAGCAAAGTAAGGGAAGGCTGAGCTCGCCTAGGAGGGGATCACCTAGAAAAATTTCCCCAAAAGGTGGATCCTCTAAGAAGCTGTCGCCCAGAAGGGATGGGCGAAATTCGTTCCGAGGAGGACGAGAAGATCGCTGGCAAGGACGACCCCGGTTACCAAATGGCCAAAGATATAACCATTTCACTTCTATCAACGCCCAGGTAGGCGAAGTCTTGGCGGACATTGAGGAGAAGTTGGAAAGCAAGGAGGTCACGTGGCCGGCGACGAGGTTCGAGGGACCGACCAAACCCAGGTCGAATAAATACTGCAGATTCTATAGAGATTATGGACATAACACGGAGGAATGTAGGCACTTGAAAGACGAGATCGAGCATCTCATACGGGCAGGGCACTTGAAAGAGTTCGTCATCCGTGATCGACCGCGGGGTAAAGAAAGGAGAAGGTGCAGGGAGGATTCAGTGGCAAGGAGTGATAGGGATGATGATAGGGAAGACGACGCTAGAAGAGAGAGAAGGATGCGACAGAACGATGATCGAGAGGAGCTGAGGGGGGATTTGCGAGCTGTGAAGCGCAAAAGGGAGGAGGTCGGGATAACTGGTCGAATGCCAGTGATCAGCTTTCGGGCAGAAGATGCGGAGGGGATCTTGCTACCCCATAATGACGCACTAATCATCACGACAGAGGTAGCAGGTTTCGACGTAAAGAGGGTGTTCATCGACACTGGGAGCTCGATCGATGTGATGTTCTATGACTGTGTTTAGTATAGATTTGATGGGCAAGGGGTAACCGAGCTACCCGACTCGGGTCGATCTCGAAGGAAGGCTATTCGGAGCTTTATCTACTAAATGATCGTCCAAATCACAAAAAGGGAAAATAAAATCCTAAACATTCTGAGAAATTGATTGGGTGGTTGATTAACACTAATTGAGCACTTAAAAACGAGCAATTAATTGAAAGCAAGATCAAAAGACGAGCATTTCGCAAACTAGGTCACCGGAGTCTCA